AGTAGCGAGAAACATGGCGCAAGAGAAAGAACGTGAGAGACTTACAAGCTAATTATGTACACTATATACAAGCCCCAAGCGAAAGTAGTCGCGCACGCGCGCTGAAGCACGCTACTGATGCCGGGAGTTACCGATGCCCTGGCTTCGGAGAGGTAGTACTCTTCTCCGTAGTCTCGTCAAAAAAGTTGGGAGAGATCAACGCCAATAGCGCCCTGGCTTCGGAGAGGTAGTATCCTTCTCTGAGACCTCGTCAGGACTGTCGGAAGGAGTACAATTATAGTGAATGAAATTTCTATAAGAACATCATTTACTGCTAAAAATTCCTTTACTTTATAAATATATGTTATTGGTGTGAGAAAACCTTTCGACAACTACCGTACTATTGCTGCGACACAATTCAACAGTGAAAGTAAACAAACTCGCGTGTTCTATATTTCATAAACAGGAATATTAGTATGCTGATCGAAATAAGAAATTTGTATAAGAATAGTAAGCTTTCCGTAGTTTTGTTTCATCATATATACGAGAAACATCGATCACATTTCAATTAGAATGAGTATTGAAAGGGAAATACAATATTCATACAGTAACATTGAATAACTCCTGTTGTATTAAAATGCCGAGGGGAAAAATTTTGACTTCTGAATAGAAAATAATAATAGATGTATGTCACGCTGCAGGATTCTCTGTTTGAGAAATAGCAAAGAAAGTTAGTATTATAAATCTAGTACTTGTGTATATTATTATTTAAAATTACGCCAAAAATATAGCAAAAACCACTATACAGGTGGCAATAATTAACAAGGCGTGATCATTTTTTTAAAAAAATAATAAATAATAATACAACTGCTGCTCAAGTAGAGAGAGATCTACAGTTACCGATAACTACACAACGTGTGCAATAATTACATAAGGATATTACATAAGGATATACGATTAAAATGGCCCAAAAGAGTAATAAAATCATCTCTTACACAAGAATAAAAAAATGCAAGATTAAAATTACATGACTTAATTAGATGACAAATGGGAAAGTGTAATATGCTCCGACGAAAAAAATTTAATCTTGACAGTCCAGATGGATTGAAATATTATTGGTATGACTTACGAAAGGATAAAGCCGTAAGCATGAGAAATTTTGGCGGTGGAACTTTAATAATTTGGGTCGCATTTAGCTATAAGTCTAAAATACCAGTTTGTAAAATTTTAACAAGAATGAGTGTAGACAAGTACATTGATCTTTTAGAAGATATTCTAATTTAGTTTATTGCAAAAAATCATGGAGATAACGTTATTTTCCAACAAGACAACACTACATAATACTAACAAAACTCAAGAGTGGTTTAGACAAACAAATTTGCCACTTATGAAGTGGCCCTCACGTTTCTTTAATTTATATCCATTAGCGAACTTGTGGAGAATTCTATCACGTGCAGTCTATAAAAATGAGAAGCAATATAATAATATTAAAGAACTAGAAAATGCAATAAGTTATGAATGGAACAAAATCTAAAAAAAAAACATTGCAAAAACTAGTAAATAGTGTTGTAGCCAGGCCTACAACCAATAATAAAAGTAGTCCGCATGGCAACAAAATTAGGTTGCACGAGCCTCGAAAAGTCTTTCGAAAGATGACACAAATGTGTGATCGCCGAAATCACGACCAGTCTTTCGAAAGACCGAAGAAATGCATCGCGAGAACATTGCGAAAAAGCTGATCAACAAATTCCTAAATTTGATGATCAAATCGAGCGTGATATTGATTGATCAATATCACGCAACCGATCGACGCAATCGATCGGAATGCTGACCGGGCATCGATCAAACTATATAACCAGCTATACAAGGCGGAACAGCAGAGTCGGGAATCAATCAAACATTACGTGTCGTTCGGAATCGTCATTATAATTATCGCGCAAGATATTACACGAGCACAGCGAAGTTCACGCGAGCCGTACTATCATCGTCTCAGGTGACATACTCGGTCGACGGCCGCCAGAGTAATGCGATACGCGCCCGCCGACGTTTAACCGTGTGTGAAAGAAATAATAAAAGCAATAATTAAATCTAAGAAATTGTGCAGTTGTTAAATAAATCAAGTATCCTAAAGAAAGTGTGTTAGTGATTTCAAGATTTCCTTCCATTCGTTTGATCCTGCTCGGAGTCCCAACTCCTTAGGCTTAACGAACCCGACTATCTCTAAAAATTAACGTTGTAACCCATCCGGGGTACAACACAACCATCAAACAGAATCTGCAAACGCATGGAAGTCATGAGACGCTTCATAGTCAGCTTCATGGTCAGGACCATTGGGACGAAAGTATGTGGACCTTTTTCTCGGTGACGACATAGATAAAGTAATCGATAATGTGTACGGTATCTATTTCGACAAAGGTGGTACAATGCTTGGTGACAAAAAGTTTGACGTTAACAAAAATGATCATAGACAATGTGAGATACAATGGTACACCAGGATTATACGAATTGATCTTCAAAAGACTTCCCGATGAAGCTATATTTACCGAAGATGACAAACAAACGTATAAAAGTATATTGTTAACGAATGCTCATAGACATGGTCACAGCGCCCATAATCCCATCATGGGCAATAAGTGATACAAATACATTAACATCATCGTTCTGCTCGTATCTACATATAAAAGAAACAATAAAAAGAGTGCAGGCATGGTAATATATTATCCACCATGAAGTTAAATGACAACAAGATCAATTACGTGCATTGGGACGATCCCAACGAAGTGGTGGATCGACCCGATTGCTCGACACTTCGCACCGAGCTGGTCACGCTCACAATAACGAAATGCTGTCGATCATCGAGGAATTTCGCGAAGCCGGCATTATTATAAATTAAATCCCGTGTCGACGAAACAAGTCAATCGATTGACGTCAGTGAGGAAAAACTTTAATTGTAATATATTTTATGTACACACATTAATATCAAACATCGTCGAAACATGAGATCGTCAAAATCAGATGGACGTGAAAAAAATTAACTCCGTAAGGCTACGACTTGTCGAGGAATTGTATGCTCCAGCCAGAAGAAATTTTCCACGAAGACGTGTCATAATTTGGGAATACGACGATCTGTGGCAAGCTGATATCATCGAGATGCACCCATATTCGAGTTTCAACAGAGGTCATCACTACATACTCACCATCATCGATGCATTGAACAAGTATGCCTGGGCTCAAGAGCAAGATCGAAAGCGAGACGGCTAAGGCTATCGAGATAATTCGAGAGAGCGGAAGATGCCCGAAAAACTTGCAAACGGATATGGAGAAGGAGTTTACAATGCCGATGTGCAGAAACTCTTGAAAAAACGTAGCGTTAATCATTATTTCACGTATTCGATATTGAAGGCATCGATCGTTGATTCGCACTTACAAACGACTCAATCGCACTTAGAAACGACATGTGGAAGATGTTTACACTTAATACTTACAAGTGGGTCAACGGGCTGCTGTGTCTCGTGTCAGATTACAACGCGCGCAAACATCGCACTATTGGCATGCGACCCATTGACGTAACTCCCACGATCGTTATAAAACTCTTGGGCACGGTATACAGCGCGATAAAGATCGCAGGTCCGGCAAAATTTAAAGCAGGTGATTCGGTACGCGTGAGCAAATATAAGACAGCTTTCGAAAAAGGTTACACGCCAAATTGATCCACCCAGGATTTGTCGAGATTGATGATTTAAGATCATTAAAGTACAGCATACTAATCCCATAATATATCTACTCGAAGACTATCGCGGAGAATTCGTCGCTGGAACGTTCTACGAGCACGAGTTGCATCGCGCGACTCATCCGGACGTGTATCTCATGGAGAAAGTACTGCGTAGGAAAGGAGACAAGGTTTACGTCAAGTGGCTGAAATTCGATGAGTCACATAATTCTTGGATACACAAAAACAATGTAATTTAATTTATTTATTGTAAACAAATATAAAAATATTTATATAAATATATACAAAAAATTTTTAATTCATGTAAAAACAAATAAAAAAATATTTAAAATTTATAAAAAAATATATATACAATATATACAATATATACAATAAGTCTTACTTTTTCTTCCATTATATCTTCGTAAAGAAACTATACATGATGATAATATGATGAAATTTAAGATAATATATTAAATGTATAAAACTATGGGAAATATGTATATATGTACATACATGTATATAAACTACAAGTACATATAAACTACAAGTACATAAACAATAAACTACAAGAAATATATACATATATATATATACATACGTACACACGTACAAATGTACGAGGGTAGTCTGAAAAGTTTTGAACCTAACATAGAAACAAGTATTTTTTCAATCAAATATAATTTTATTTTTATTTTTCAACATAATCTGCTTTTAAGTCGATACACTTTTCCCATCGATACTCTAATCTCTTTAACCCCTCCAAATAGTAGTTGGCGTCTTGCTCCGCAAAATAGGCGTTTATGTATGCGATGACCTCCTCGTTCGATGAAAAATCTCCTCCAAGCAAAACTTTAAGCTTAGGAAACAGGACAAAGTCGCTGGAGGCCAGATCTGGTGAATACGGTGGGTGGTCAACCAATTCGAAGTGCAGTTCGTGAATTTTGATCATGGCGACCGCCGAAGTGTGAGCAGGTGCATTGTCTTGATGGAACAGCACTTTCTTCTTCTTCAAATGCGGCCATTTTTTTGCAATTTCTGCCTTCAGCTTATCAAGTAATGATGCGTAATATGCTCCCGTTATTGTTTTACCTTTTTCAAGATAGTCGATACACACAATTTCGTGATTATCCCAAAAAACAGTCGCCATTATCTTCCCAGCTGATGGAACCGTCTTCACCTTTTTCGGAGCAGGTTCACCCTCTTTGCAGTTCACTGTTTTGACTGTTCTGTTGTCTCTGAAGTGTAGTGGTGGATCCAAGTTTCATCTACAGTTATGAATCGACGCAAAAAATCTGACTCGTTTCGCTTGAACCGCTCCAACAGGGCCTTGGAAATATTCATTCGAATTCGTTTTTGGTCCAAAGTGAGCAAGCGCAGCACCCAACGCGCGGATAGTTTGCACATATCCAATTCTTCAGTCAATATATGACAAACGCGTTCTTTCGAGATGCCCAGCCTCTGCTATCTCTCTAACCTTGATTCGGTGGTCGTTCAGTACCATTTGGTGAACATTTTCGATGTTATCAGCGATGATCGCAGTTTTTCGCCGTCCCGAACGCTCCTCATCAGCCAAGCTGGTACGATCACGTTTAAATTCAGCTGCCCATCTTTTTACGGTGGCAAATGATGAGGCAGAGTCCCCGTAAACAGTGTCCAACTCGATTTTAATTTGCGCAGGCGTATTGCTTTTCAAATGTAAGAATTTATTCACAGCACGATATTCAATTTTTTCCATTTTTACAAAACACTGACATCGACTGACACAAATGACTGTCAAACAATAACTGAGCATTCAAAATGGCTGAAATTTTCACAAAAGTCTTTCAAAGCATATACTATTGTATTAGAATGATTTTGACGACTAACATCATCTTCATGTTAAGACTCAAAACTTTTCAGACTACCCTCGTATATGCATATATACATATATACGTATGTATGTACATACGTATATACGTACATACGTACATACGTACATACATATTATATATACGTATAAACTACAAGAAATACGTGCATACGTACATATATATAAAATTATATATAAAAAAATATATACATGTATATTACAAAGGTATCCGCTAATGTCCCCACGGTAACATTTCCGTCGAATCTGGTACGATGTATCGTTTGTCATCGGACTCAGAGCAATTTTCGACTCAGACACCATATATACTTGGTGTAACTTGGATCTTATACATGACTGGCGACGAACCATTTCGATCTCTTCATTCAAGTACCGCGTGTAAGTGTCCATTAATTGTCTCGATCTTCTGCAAGATATCGATCCGCGTGACCATGGCCTATCTCAAAATAAATCTTTGGAGTCCGACGATCAGTTCCAAGTCTTAGGACTCAAGTGGCATCCACCGCGTGATCTTTCAATTCAATGTAATTTTGTCTAACTCGCTGCCATCAAACGCACAATTCTCTTAGCTATCTCGAAATTATTTGATCCAATGGCTCACTCCCATCATAATCACAGCAAAGATTCTGATGCAACGCTTATGACATGCAAAGGTTCTTTGGGATGGTGCAATTTCTCCTGATATCCTTCATGGACTGGACTGCATATTATTGTTCTCTCGAACTTCTCAATTCGCTCGAAATTCCTCGCTGGACAGAAAGATCATGACACACAACACTGTGAACTGCACGGTTTTTTGGACGCCTCCACATCTGCTTATGCAGCCGTGATCTATTTCAAGGTTGACTCGTCTCTAGGTGATCGCCAAGTTTCTTTATTAATGGCGAAATTTCGAGTCGTTCCCTTGAAAAGTCTGAGTATCCCTTGGTTGGAATTAATGGCTGCCGTTCTCTTGGCCTGTATGATTTCTTATGTTTGAAAATCTCTTAACTTAACCGACATTCCATGTCATTGTTGAACAGATTTCACTGTCTAGCTTGGATAAGATAACATCCATTCAAATGGAAAACATTCGTAGCGAATCGAGTCGACGAAATACAATCTAAGGTTCCGAACTCTCAATGGCATTACGTGCCAACTCAAGAGAATCCAGCTGACTGCGTGTCTCGAGGAATTCCCGTATAAAGTCTGCTCAATAAGCCCGACTGGTGGAAGGGTACAGAATGGCTTAAATTACCGAGTGCTCAATGGCCTCAAACTGATATTACTCTTCTTCTAAACTCTTCACTCGAAGCCAAGTCTCATGTTATCAGTTTTGGAATTGACACTCAAGATGGGATCTCGCTCAACGATTTTCATCGTGGCCAAAATTAATTCGCATCACATAGTATATTTTTCATGTTGTCAACATGCTTAAGATAAGGACCCTTAAACATTCCGTCTCTTCTCCGGATCTACACTCCGACTCCAACAGTATTAGATCAATCCGAAGTGACCAACGCCAAACGTTTTTGGTGTCGATACATGCTCAACAATCTCGCACTTTTCCTCGCGACATCCAAGAGTAGATAAGCAAGGGGGTCCT